TATATATATATATATACACATATATTTTATATTTAATTCATGACTGAAGAGAAAGAGCAAAAACATCATAATATTTTATTTATATATTTTAACTTGTATTATTGTGTTGTTTGGTGTTTAATAATTTGTGACACGTAACATAATTACATTGTATAAAAATACTAAAATATAGAAAACAAAAAGCAAAAAATATTTTTGTTATAAATTTCATAATTTTTCGATTCAATTTTTGTTGATATTTATTAAACAGCGTATTAAAAAATTTGTTTTGCATAGAATCATATAAGTTTGTAATATCGTTAGTTTCCATTAAAATTATTGTTGAAGTTTCTCATGAAATTATAAAATAAAGCAGCTTATTACATTATGAGCTTTTCAAAAGAAAAAGAAAGGGAGGGAGAAGGAATTGTTTGTAACGTTATAATCAACTATTTTGCAATGCCAATAGGTCGATTTGTTATATAATGTATACAATCTTCTATAATGTTGGTCCACAGAGTCGCAGTATAAACTTGTTTGCAAATACATACGCGTCGTTCCTTATCAATTTATATCTAAAAAAAATGTGAGAAAGAAAACATTTTCTGATTGAAAAAAAGACAGGACTCATTATAAAATACGAATGTATCTGAGAAGAAAAAAATGATTCATTAATTTGATTTCATTGTATATACAATGATATCAAGTTAAACAAAACGCATACAAATCTTTATATAAATACATCTTTACACACATATATCAATGGATTAATTTTGAGTAAAGAACTTACAATATTTTTCAATCAAATTGTACGAATAATGTTTGTGATATATTAAAAATATTTGTGCAAAGGCGTTTTCTCTAATATGATTATAATAATAAATACTTATTTCTAACAATAACAGCATTTACGCAGGATTATATCATTATATATATGTGGCAGAAGGATATATCTCCGTTCAACAAAAACCTATAGAGTTTTCGTCGATGAGTCATGATGGCCGCTAAATCGTTGCGATCGGTTCAGCTGATCCAAAGATACCTACATGGATTGTACATGCTGAAATTAATAGTGTTATATTTTCACGCCGATACGTCGTTTGACATACGCGCGACACATATTCTAAATGTTTCGAGTTTGCCTGCAATCGGCGCGTATTACACTATCACATATTCACTTCCCAGAGTTTGAAATAGTTATCGATCACTTCCATAAACCATTCGCGTCTTTTTGGATCCTTGAAAGCGGGTGCCAATGTCCGCAATTGTAATTGCAGCAGCGCCTCGTCGTCCAAGAGGCCGTTCAGTTGCCTAAGCAATGCCGTATCGCCGTGCAATTTCAGCAGGCTGGCGTAAGTGAAGATATAATATTGCACCCGAAGACGTTGCACGGCCCATGCTTCTACGCTACGATTGCCACTCGCCGATTGTATGGAACCCATGTGCTCGGCGTACCAAGGCGAGAAATAGTTACTCAGCTCGAGAGCCGACAGTTCTGCAACTCCTCGTGTTTTCAACCGTTCCTTTATTCGCGAATACACCTGAGGAGTATACACGAAAACCTGGAAGAAAAAATATTCCAAAAAATATTTCATCATTCGTCTTTCTCAAATGGCATCAAATTTTTATATAGATAACGAAATGCTTTATATTTTGGCTGTTTCTCCGATTAACGAAGAGATTGAATCTCCAGATTGCGGCATCGCATTTCAAGCAGAAAGTTTCGTAATTTCACTTTTACTGACATTGACGCGATGACGTAAACTACTACTAGTGAGAACTAGGTTCGGCATAATGAGGTGTTTCTGTGCAGTTTTTACGCCTAAATGGAAATAAAAATGCCGCACGTCTTTCTTTCTCTTTCCGTTGCGCGATAGAGCGTATGATAAATGAGGCTTGTTTCACTTTTATCTAACCGAGACTGCATTCTTCTTACGACGAGCCGATTGCGACAGCAATCAACGGACCGCATAATTAAGGAAGATGCATCGATGCAAAGAGACGAATATCATGCCCGTTTTTATTATTGTTGCAATATTGAACCGGTTAATCGCAACTTTATTTAAATATGCCTGCATAATGCGGTGAGATTTTTTTTGCTTTCAAAGAGATACATTTTTCTAATATTCGTGAAAATATTTGTAATTTTATACACTTTCTTTTTTTGTTAAAAGAATTATTTAATAAACCCAGATTGCGGAATCGATATGTTTTAAAAACGATTATTGTTCGCATAGAATCGAAAGAATAGACGTTAAAATAGAAAATTTTAATTTTAATCATCATATTATTGAACTATCATCTTAGCTTTTCTGATCGTTTTACCTGATAAAGCGAGTTTCCCGTTATGTAAGAAGCGATGTAGTGCGAACCGAAGTTCCTGATAAATCGCACAACACTCGCAGTGTCACCGACCGTGACGTTCTCTGTCTGCCGCAATACGGAATCATCGAGGACGAGGGTCTCGGCGGTGCCAGCGAGTCGTTGATTATCACGGAATCTAGCGACGCGCACTAGAACGTAACAGTGATCGCCCGTGATGAAGGACGAGTTTATGCCGAGGTGCCTGGCTATTGCCGCCTTCGACCAGCTTCCAGTGAAGGCGCGCCACGGCCTCTCCAGTCTTTCGAAAGTGAAGTCACGGAAGTATGCCTGTAGAAGTTGTCTGTAAACACACATACACAATACATTTATACAGATAATAAAAATACACACATTTACTTCATTTGAGAATATCCTGATAGACTAGATGGATCTCTTGATAGATTTTCTTTCAAACTTCTACTCTTAAAGAAAATAAATAGGTAATATATATATTACAAATAATTTTTATATTAAATTCGTATTTAGCTATACAAATTGCAAATAAATGCCATAAAAGTCTTAAAAATTAGCTTTTAATTTTGATAATTTGATCCAACTTTTCTTTCTATTTTTTAAAAGGGCATCGAATATAATCACGTGCCTTATATTGTCGCAGAATTCCATGTGGAAGTCGCCGTCGAAGACGGCGTTATTTATTTTTGCCTGACGCTGCTTGGACGGCATCGGCGTGGCATTCTTGAAGACATCGAGAGTGGGCTCGCGGAATATCCAAGTTTCAGTATCGTTGCGCGGTACCACTCGCATACTGATACTCAGGTAGCCGTAACGGCTGAAAACGTTTACGGCACCGCCGAGCCGCGGTCGCTGCGACCTGGTAACGTGATGGCCGATCAGCAACGCGAACGTTAACGCCAAGAGGAAGAGCCGCGTTCGTGACCACATCTCTGGGCAGCTGCCTAGGTCAGTAATACCTGAAACAAAGATCGCGAATATATATTAGATATAATCAAGCCATGAGCAAATAGCGAGCGAAACGTATGACACATACACACATTTATCCTTTCATAAGATATTTAAAAATCTGACATTCTTGACGCAATGTTTCACATCTAAAGAGTGATTTTATCCTACTGGCTACCTTTATATCGTATCTCCATGAATAAAAACGTTTCTTCGTAAAAACGGTGTCCATTTTCAATTCAATCTCGTAGATATACCAGAGAGTATTCTTTTATACCATTCAATCTTATACCATGAAACAACATTTGCAAAATCGCATCTTGCAAACTCTGGGATACTGGGAAGCCTATCTCACAATCAGTTGCGAGAGGAAGCTGCGACTACCGGTTTCCGACCACACGTGCACGTCTCGGACGCAAGAAATCGTTACCGTGTTGCAGCGTGCTATCTCGCTATGTAGGTCTAGGTGCGCGTCGCCGAGGTGTTTGCACGAGCGAAGTCCGTGGCCTTCATCCCCACTTGCCTCATACCGGACGAGCACCTTGGTCTATCTGACACCGGTGTTCCGTGTATCTGAATCGTCTCGTTCTCCTTCCTACCCTCCGTGCATATCTAGATTCGATGATTCGCTTCTTCTCGCTCAGAATGAACGGTGAATGCACATAAATTTCTTCCATGCAGTCGACAACGAATAGGCTATCATCCCGCATCCGTTTTACTTTATCGCATCTCGGAACGGAAACGGACGTTTTACATTGACATTATGATGATGCGGACAATAGTCATGAATATCCAAACCTTGGCACGCCGGCGATCTTGAATTATGCTTTTAGAATGAATAGCATATAAATAGAGAGATAAAGGCAGCTATACATACGATACATACGGATATCGAATGATGCTTATTATAATATAGTGATGCATTTATGTATTTATTTTTTATAGTTAGAATTTGCATAAAATACTGTTTATTCTGCAATTTGAATTTGAATAGAGTATATGCAGTTGCACGAGTTTCATGAATGTAACATAATGCCTCGAGGATTGTAAAAACGAGCTGACAGTTATAATTACCAACAGCACCGTGAAGCGGTTCAAATTTTGCGAGATTGCATTTTTACGCGGCAAACCTCACTATCTCTCGGATATAATTTTAGAATTTCGCGGACTTATATACAACAGAACAAAGAATATTATATTTTAAAAATATATATAGTTTTATCGAAATAATATATATTATATATTGAAATATAATTCATAGCCACTGTTATATTATATTTGATATAATTTGAATCTCTCTCTCTCTCTCTCTCTCTTTTGGAGAATAAAAAATGAATTATCTTTTTTGTCTTAAGAAAATAGCTATTTGATGAATAAGAGCTGCAAGCTCTTTGAATAATACATGAAGTATTGATATTTTAAAATATAATAATTTCATAATTTAGAAAGAGAGAGAGAGAGGGAGAGCTATTTTCGAGAAAATTCAATATATTACTATTAATAAAAGTTGCAATGTATTACAATTAGAGAAAGTTTGATTACATATCAAATAAAACGTTATCGGATAACGACAACGGTTAAATAACGGTTTCTTCCTGCATTTCTCATGACAAATGATTAATTTGTGTCTTCTAATGTTTTCACTCAATTAAGCATATTCGCTCGTATATATTGTAATACATGAGATGCACCGATACACATACACTCTGCGTTTTCATTCGTCAGAATCAATGTAGGTCCAAAGTGCAAGTGAGTGAAAGTGAAATTAAACGCCTACCATTCGAATGGACACTTCTTCCTCGCGGATACAAGCCTAAAAAAAGAAACTCGTAAAGTTATGAGAGATACGTGACATATGCTTCTTCTTGCAGAAATGATTAAGGTAGCATCAAAACCATAGCACACAAAAAAAAATAGATAAACATCGTGTGCTATCAATCTTCAATGAAGCGGAAGAAGAGAATGATGTGGTTCAATAGGAGCGTAACTTGCTTTGGAAATCTCATCAAGGATGGTCAGAGCTCGAGACGGTTAGAACTCTTGCTTTGCCCGCAGGGATACGCCGACACAAGCGGTAGTAATTAAGTTTTCTGTCGTTTAATCAAAGAGATGAAATTACTTGTCCCCGCAAGGGGAACGAATCTGATGGATTAGATTTGGCAGGAGCAACAAAGTCAGCTCTCAATCATTCTTTCTATTATCAAACAATCGGTTTTTAAGGAACATCGAAATATTTTCCGACTTTTCAAGCAGAAAAAACACGCGATATTTCTCTATAATGTATTTATAGATTATTTGCTCGTGTGATGAGAATTATTCAACCTTTTTGACTGGATGAACTGCATTTATGAATGCCTATCTGTGAATAATGTTGTATTTGTAACGAACCGTGAAATATGGTATAGTAAATATAATAGATGATCGTGATAGAAATTAATTCAACGTTTAATGAAGCTTCGTGGGAGCGCATAATAATTAATCAACCATTGGTAATAATTAACGGAGACCGTGAAGTTAAATGACGTTTATCGTGCGATTGCACGAGCACGTGCAATTGAACGCGCATTACATCGACGTTTAACTGACATAACGCGAGTGCGCGATAGCCCGATTGAACCACGCGGTTTTTATCTCTCAAACGATACACGTACACGCCCCAATTCATCTTCCTCGTTGTTACTAGGGATTGAAACGATTGCAGTTTTGCACAATGCTACTCGGCAGTTCGATTTAAATTAATCCCCATGGTCAGCGGATCGTATCGCGCATTTCTATTGTGTTCGCTGTACAGTTTGTCAAACTGTTTAATCGCATACTCTGGTAAACTTTGACATTCCTATACGCTTCTGTCTTCTTTGTCCCAGTGGCCTTTCAAGCTCATGAGAATACCATCGAACCGTTTAGCGTAAAGTTATAATTATGCAACAGGGCTCAGGTGATCCTTATTTTCGCGCGAAAAAAATAACTTTGCGTGGGTATTCCGAGGTTGATTGTTTCATTAACTTTATAACAATATTAACATAACTAAGCACGTATTATTTGTGCTTCAAGTATTTTATTATCATATAGTTACTATTTATTTATTATTTCTATTTATATATATATAATTGTCAAAAAGATTTAATATGATTTAATTCTTTATAAGTTACATTATATTAAATAATTTTTACTTAATTAAATACGTAAAATATTTATAAGGTCATTTCTCAAGAGTTATTTTATTGTTGATTGCTCGTTATCAATCATAATACCGGTTTCATATAAATGGCTTTTTAAGAACTTTTTTAAAAATGTTATAAAAAGGTTGGTACTATCTAGTTTCAGTATTGATTGAGAGATAGAGTGCCATTAGTACGTCTTTAAAAAAAATCATTCTTGGAACTTTTTGAACGTATCGGGTATAGCATTTGAGATATCACTGCCCGCTTAAATTACACAATTTTTTCATAATTATATTCTCCATATGGCTAAACTTTTCTAGGTCAACATAGTGAAACTAAGACACGCATGCGAGTTATTTAGTATATATTTTGTTCCATTATTGAAGTAACACGATACCAATATGTGGAATATGAAGCATAATGTATTATCGCTTTTGTGTGTGCTATTTCCGCAACAATAGGCGTAAGTTTCGTTTCGGATTTAAACGATTTCATACCATCGGCACCAGACAAAACGTATAAATCTGCGGTAACTCATGTGTAATAGGAAGTCGTTTATCGGTTTATCGCGTAAGGAAGATCGCTCTATATACCTAGATTCGAAGTTGCTAGCCACAAACGAAGGTAACCATACATATTCATGAGATTACAGTAAAAGCAATGAAACAAAGAATGTGCCTCGATTGTTTCATTTACTATCGTTATCCTCGTCGATTATTGCATCAAAAACATTAATTTTGCAAAAGTGGTAAAATTTAAAACAATTTTTTTGACAAATATTTTTATCTTATATATTATATAATAAAATATTTATAAAAGCGCCTTTTATATACTTATGAATGTGGCCTATTTCTTAAAAGCCATTTTGATGTAAAATGTAAATGCAATTTTTATTTTATTATAATCTATCAGAACAATATCTTTCCTTGATAAATATTTATTGAATGTATTTTATTAAAAATTTTTGCAATACGAAAAGACTTTAGAAACTATGCATATCAATTTTAAATCTTCAACCAGCGAACTTGGATAATATATAATATTATCAATGAGTTTGAAAAAACCTACAACAACAAAACATTAAAAAAATTAAGTTACCAAATTAGAAAAACGGAAGGAACAAGTTCCGCTTTCGCCGTTGCTTTCGAACATGTGAGAGTGGTTTATCAACTCAACATGATTAGAACTTGAAACGAATTTTCTCTTGATAATAAATTATTTTCAATTTAAACTACGACTACTTTCAATATAAAACAATTTTATTTAATGGATTAAAATAGATAAAAATTAAACGGTAATTGTAAATTATAATATTAAGTTTTACAGATCATGGTGATTGTTTATTTCATATTTAGATGAAATGTCAGAATGAAAGACACTTTTGCAATGACAAATACTTATTGTTAGTATATCAAATAGAAAGTTCGCGAAATTTAATATTGCTTCACCATAATAAAACGGCGTTTCAATATAACCAATTGCTGCATCGAATGATAGATAGCATTGTGTAATATATATACATGAACACCTGCAAGGTATCATATGGACAATATCTTATACATATCTTTAAAGTAATAAGGCATGCTTGCAGAGTATGACTCCTGAAAATTTGTATTTATATATAAAATAAAATAAATAAAATTTAATAAAGATATGTACTAAGATAAAATATAGATTATGTAATATAAATAGAATAATCAAAATACACAATTTAGAATAAATAATATAAATAAAATAATAAAATATATATTCGTGCAATGCAATAGTTTTAGAAAATTATGTAATTTAAAAAGACAACGCACAGTATGAGATCTGTAATAAGATATACGAAAGACTTATATGATTTATTG